CCTATCGAGAAAAATTGTACAATCATTACCACAATTTCAGAACATTTTCTACCCCCACCCATGATTAAATTGCCTTTACAATGAGTTGTGTAGTCACTTTCTGTTCTAGTGCTCACTCCCTCTCCCACCTTCACTGTTGACTCCTGAACTGCCCTTCCCCTCCCCATCTCCACTGCACCTCTCCCAACATCCTCGACCAAACCCTTGCTTCAGTTATCTCTGTACTCCTGTAACACATCGGTTAACCCAAAAGAAACAATAAGGAACAAAAACGAAATGAAGTGGTAAGAATGAAACAATAGTAATATCAAGATAAAAATACAAGTAACGAGGAAGAAACAAAGGACCACCATCAATAGTTAAAAAGCCAGGGAAGAAGTTTTTGTCATAGAGCAAGCAAGAGATCTTTGCACCTAGAACAAATTCAGGTTGGATCCAGAGGGAGGTCAACTGACCAAGGATCAAGTCTGATCCAGCATAATGGGGATTACAATGATCTATGTTTGATAGCAAAGCTGTTCTGGGCCTTTGCCTGTGGCTAGAGGGGATCTGCCAGTGGCTTCATCTGATCAGAGGCTCTGCAGATGGGTTTTGGGCTCCCACTGTCCTCCACAGCCTTCCACATATTGGGTGTTCACAATTTTTGCTCTGATACTTTTTCAATTCATCATATTTGAGTGTTATTATTGTCACGTTTGCATCACACAGGCTGGTGTACTTCTTCCAGGTGGGCTTAGTGGACTCCTCACTTAGATGGAGACTGTGTAACTCTTCCCAGGAGCAGGAAGGCCCCTCTTGCTCCCACCAAGCGCCAGGTGGTTCTGAATCGCAGATTTCGAGGATTGCTGCCCAATGGGTAACCACTGTGCACCGGGGCTCCATCTCAGTTCACAAGAGGGGAACAAAAGCACCATGATCAGAATCGGCTGGTCCTATGAGGCTGTCAGACGTGCCTCCACCCTCCAACCACCCCTCCCAAGGCAGGCTCTGCTTCTCAGCTGGGTTCAACTCGATGCAGTGGCCACACAGAACTGACAGACAATACTCATGTGTATGTATGGGGGTTATTAAGGCAGTTAACCAGTTACAAATGGTCAGGATATCATTATTCAAACAAGACATCCACTCAACAAGGGGGCCCAGGTGGTTGTTACCACAATAAGCCTAGTCAGCTGTCTGCGGTGTCCTGGACCGTCAGTCCTAGAAGGTGCCTTTTCTGATGTGCACAGCCTTCCACCGGCCGACAACGTGCTCACAATCCAAACGGTGTGTTTTGTCTTGCAAGTCTCGCTCTAAGTGGAAACCTCCTTTGGGCAGGAAGCTGACTTGTGGAGAGAAGCAGCTCCCGCGGCAGCTGGAGCTAAGCTGGCTGGTTAAGCAATGGATGACTGGTCGCTGGAACCACCCTGCCAGAGGCCCATGGCCATATGTGCATAAACAGAGACCGGGAGAAGAGAAGATCAAATGTGGATACTTTATAAAGGGCTGTCTGTTTATCTGACTACACTAAGGATAGTGAATGTTTCAACTTGCTATTATAACTAGACCTACACTTGTGATAGAAATCAATATGCTTATCAATGGATAAAAATTAATAGGGGGCCAGGGACTACAGAGAGTTTGTATGCTTGACTTCAGCCTATACTTGCTTGGCTATGCTAACATGGGAATTAGGAATCACCTGGAAGGACTAGACTTTATTTTAAGCCAGAAGCCTATGTGCGGTTGGGGGCTAGGTGGAAAGTGGGGTTGCACCCAGAACTTCTGAGAGAACAAGTAGGTAGGACACATGGTTCATTCATTCTACTCCCAGGCCACTTTTTAGGAAAAAGACATAACCCTAATCAGGCCAACCAGGGCATAAACCCCATTTGGGAACTTCCGTAAGCAAACGTCCTCCGGCTAGACGAGGTGGGGTGATGATGGGAGCCTGGAGTCACTCAAGGCCGCTGTGGAGCTGGGATGGCACCCACCCCAGGGAAGGAGAGCTGGTGGAGGGGTCCTGGTAGCATCTTTTGAGCCCAGAACCAAGCTAGGCCTTAGCCGGTTGTGTTGTGGACTTAGCATAAGCAAGTGATTTTTTTGTTTTCGTTTGGTTTGGTTTAAGTCATTCTGAAAGACTCAGAATGGAGAGTATTGAGTGTCCCTCACACTTCGCACTGGGGATTGGGAAGCATCTCTGAAGTCTGCTCCCCTTGGGCACGTAGCACAGAGCAAAGACGAAGAGAGAGATGCTCTCAGACACTGCCACGACTCCCTTCGCTAGGCGAGCAGGCTTAGCACACTGCGCTGCTAACTGAGCAGAATCGAAGGCACCATCGTGACGCGGAGAACAGATGAAAGAATTACGGAGTTGTCAAAGAATATTGAAAGTACCATGGGCGATCAGAAGAACACACGGATCTGTCTTGGAGAGAGTATAGCCGAAATTCTCCTTAGCGGCAAGGGTAGTGACACTTCATTTCACATACTTTGGGGATGTTATCGAGAGAGGCCAGTTCCCTGGAGAAGGGCATCATTCTTGGTCCAGTCGAGGGTCAGCGCGACAGTGGAAGGTGGAGTGACACTGTGGCATGACAAGTATGAACATGACCCAGGGCCAGGCAGGGTGTCCTTCTGTTGTACCAAGGGTTGCTATAAGGCCTCAGAGCTAGGAGCCCTATGGTCGAGAGCTTGGTTGATGGTTCAAACCTGCCCAGTGACTTACTTCATGAGGAAAAGATTGGGTGATCTGTTCCCTAAAATTGGCAGTCTCTGGGGCGGTTTGCTCCTCTGTTTCATGGATGGCTAAGTCAACTCAGTCATACCGAGCAGTGATGCTTCAAGAGGCTCGGGAGTGACCCCTGGGCTCTGGGATTTCATGGCTGTCAAATTCCAAAGAAAGCTCTTAGGGTCCAAACTAGAATTCCCAAGTTTTAATTGTGTTAAGAAGTTAAAGACCGAAACAAAACACTGCCACCCACCATCACCACATCTAGAAGAAATCTCTCTTCCCCCTAATTCTCCCTCATATACCCCTCTCTCTCTCTCCTCCCTCCCCCACTTCTCTTTCTAAGGATTGTTTTAGCAAAAAAGGCCAGGCCCACGGCTCCGTGAGTCTATTCCTTGCTGGCCACCCTGTACCAAACCCTTTGTAAAGGGGTACATGTACTTCATGAAGGGGTCACTCTGCACTCACCTCTCTCTGCTGCCAACACCGTTCTACATTCTACTAGGTGACAAGTGGAGATTCCTCCACCCCCCCACCCCCGGAGTGCCCCCACCTTCATATCTCATGCCCCTGGGACAGGGGACCTCTGGACGAGTGGGACTGACAACACAGGTCGGGGGTCCCACGACCCCACAGCTCATCGCGAGAGTGAAGATAGCGGGGAAAGGCCCCACTCTCAGAGCCATGGGGGTCTGGCCAGGGAAGCCAGGCAGGAACAGAGCTGACCACAGATGGGCTAGACAAGAAACTTCGCATCCCCACTGCTGCACGGTCCAATCTGCTCTCCACCCGACCACCAGCCACTGCCTGCCTGAAGCCCCCCAGGACCCCACAGCACAGAGAGGTACCAGTGCAGGGTCTGGAGGAAGGTGTGGGGTGACCTCAGAGCTATGCATCCAAGGGCAGCAGCAGGCTCCCTGGGGACTCCATGTCCACAGGGGCAGGGCATGTGTAGAACGTGTGCACGGCTGTGCTGGCCAGCCAGCGAGGGACAGAAAGCAGCTCATTCAGGAAGCTCAAGTGGGGGATAGGGTGTGATCCTAAGTGTGACTGGATGGGACTCTGGCTCATAGAGGGAGTCTTTGACAAGTCGTACACCTTGTTAGCATAAGTACACACTAGAGGTGTGCAGTCTGCCTCAGCAAGTGCCCTCAAAGTTTCCGTCTGAACACCACCACCACCACCACCCGGCTCCCACCCCACACACCTTAATGGGAGACTGGCTAGAACCAAGCGGCTGAGTGCCAGGACCCTAGAGCAGGGGGGCAGGAGGCTGGAAAAGGACGCTGCTGATGGAAAGGTTGGAGATTCAATCCGTCCTGTGATGCTTGGGAAGAAAGAACCAGTGTCCTAGTTGCAAAAACTAAGCTGCTGAAAGCCCTCAGGAGCTCGTTTCTACCCCGACTCATGTGAGTGGGGTCACCTCAAGTCTAGTCTTGTGAGAAGGGAGGAGCCGGACAAGGAGGAGACAGCGCGGTTGGCAGGAAAGATAGAGAACCATCTCCTGTGCCCCTCACCGGGCTCTGAGAGTATGCACCACCCAAAGGCAGCTCTGTACCACCTCCCATTACAAGCAGATACACAGGGAACATCAGGGAGCCAGAGGGAATGAGGCCCAGAGGCCCAGGACAATAAGGTCCACAGTCAGCTATAGATTCAAAGGGGCCCCAGGACCCTTGGCACGTTGGCAATCACAGGTCACCTCCTGACAAATCCTGATATCTGACCTGAACATGCTGCCACCTCTGTTCTTATCGCACG